TTCTTGCCTTTCTAAAGGTCTGACTTCTTCAAGCCTGTGCTAGAAACGGCCCTCACTGTCAGGGGAAGCCTTGGCAGACACGTGCTATTGGCTCCTGGATTTTCCAAAGGGGAAACTGGAAATTCCAGTCATTCTGTTTCCAGCTGTCTTTAGAAATTTATTTCTTGGACTTTAATATTGTTGGAAATCATCTGAGACCAGAAAAGCAGAGTTGGGAAATTAATTAAGGAGAAACCAAGTGAAAACATAACGGTGATATTATCTGTTAACACCTATCCACAACATTCTCTTGAGATCACCTTAGTATATGAACCTGTGATGTCTCTAAGACTCTTGACTTTGAACTTGAACAATAAAATTCAGTCTAATTATTAAGGAAGATTAAGTTTAATTAAATCTACTGCCTAACGATGATCATACTGTTTACTCAATCAGTTAATAAGTGCTCAAGAGCAGTTTACTGAGCATGTGCCGTCTTTCAGATGCTGTGCTAGGTGTGCAACCCACAAAGTTGGGTAAGGCTTGTACTGTGCTCTCAGAGAGCTCATGATTCCCAGGGGGAGCTAGGCCTGCCAGCCAGGAGTCCCAAGGGCACGTGGAAAGCCCAATGCAGCAGTATAGAAAGAAATGGAATGCAGTGTGATTTTAGTTAGCATGTCTTTTTTTCCTTTATGATGTAAGAATATTTTTACTCGGTATTTTTAATGCTACTTAGAAGTTGTCCCTGGATTTTTTTCCCCCCATCAATGATGAAGGATAACAACATTAGGCAGGTACATTGAGGAGGCAATATTCCCTAAATGCTGCCCTTTCTTCTTGGATTCTGCTGTGACTATTCATGGGAGCATGGGACCTGTCACCTGAAGATGGCTTGGTTGTCTTTTTTCTCTATGCTTCGTCACAGTTTTAAAATGCTTTTTGGGGGGGGGAAACTATAAATAGTAAATATTTATCAACTTGGATTAGTATTTCTCTATTTTTTTCTTATCCCATTATGTAGCATATTTGCTAAATTCTGAGAATCCTCACTGCCAGTGTTATCCAGGGAAAATGTGGCTGGGGAGTATGGAGACAGGCTCTACTGTCGGTGAACCTTAACTCTTCTAAGTGTGTTAATCATGGTCTCAGCCAAATTGTACTGCTCTTTTTATGTTAAGATCACAAGCCCTAAAGTCAGACTCACCTTATGTAAATGTCAGTTGTCACCTAGAGGGGATACATAGAAAGATATTTATGTAGCAGCTACTTTGCACATGTACCTAAGCAGTGAAACATTGTTCCCCCTGTTGTGGGATGGTTGCTGCAGGATGAGTTGTTGAACTGTTGTTGTTCTCACATCTTAAGATGTGTCACTGTCTTCATAGTATCAAAAGGAAAACTTGAGACTAAGTGACTTTAGCAGAGCTTATTTGAGCAAAGAAATATTTGACGAACCAGGCATGGTGATGTGTGCCCATAATTCAACTACTTGCGAGACTGAGGCAGAGGGCTTGTGAATTCAAGGCCAGCCTGGGCGACATAACCAGACCCCACCTCAAGGAAAAGAAAAATAGAAGAGAAAAGAGAGAGGTTTCCTGAGTCCACCAGCAGTCCAGACATAAAATGGCTCAGTAGACACCACCTCACCACATACACAAGCTTTATCTATCACCAGAGAACAGGAAATGACATACAGAAGTGACCTGCTTGGCTGCAGTTGTGGTTTGCCTTTTATGGTCAAATCTCGGCAGCTTTTAGCCTCTGATTGGCTTTTGGTTCAGCTGCTATGAGACTTGGCACGTTGTTGTAAGAGTGTACTTCCAGGTCTGGTTATACATCAAATTAGGTTACAGTTCACAGCATATGGAGAAACCTTTAGGACAAACATGAAATATATATGGAGACAACTTCAGGCAAAACAATTCAAATTCCATTTAACAGTGGTAAGACACTCTTTTAGAAATGCTGTTGTTAATTCCAATATTTTTTTATGAAATCATGTTCACTAAAGCCAATTTTATGTACTGGATTTGTTTCTGTGGTTCCCAGTATCATGTACTCAGCCTAACAAATCACCAGGGGAGACCCCAGGCTACCTCTTACATCTAGCTAATTGACGGTAGTTGACATTTTGCCAGGTTATTTCAATATAATTAATTCTGTATGCCTTTCACCCACCTTTAGTGAACTTAACAACTTGCTCACAAAGAAAAAAGTACATATAAATACACAATTGAGAATCTTCTAATGATATATTCGAGGTATAGCATTCCTTTTTCATAACATATCCCAATGCATGATAGAAAACATGTTTAAAATTAACAGATCAATAACCATGGTAAAAAGAGGTAGCTTTCTTAGAGAAAATATGCACAGCATCTGAAAGGGAAATGAGTACAGATTTGAAGGGCACAGAAGTAACCCAAGGCACACAGAGTACTTTAGTCAGCTTTTTCACAGCTGTAACTAAAAGGACCCAACCAGAACAGCTGTAGAGGAGGAAAGGTTTATTTAGGGGCCCTTGGTTTCACAGGTCTCAGTCCATAGATAGCAGGCTCCATTCCTTGGGCTTGAAGTGAGGCAGATCATCATGGCAGAAGAGTGTGGTGGAGGGAAGCAGCTCACATGATGATCAGAAAGCAGAGAGAGAGAAAGACTCCACTCTCAAGATACAAAATATATACCCATAGCCATGCTCCCAAGGTCCAACTCCTCCAGCCACACCCTACCCACCTTTAGTAACCACTCAGTTAATCCCTCTCTGGGGATTAATTCACTGATTAGATTGAGACTCTTACAACCCAATCATTTCTTCTCTGAACCTTCTTGCATTGTCTCCCACGTGAGCTTTTGGAGGACACCTTACATCCAAACCATAACATTCTAATCCTGGCCTCCAAAAGCTCACACTCATCTGACCATGCAGAATATATTTAGTCTATTCCCAAGAGTATCCATAGCCTCCGCAGTTCCTAGATTGCTCAAAGTTCAAGTCCAAAGTCTTCTCTGAAGCTCAAGGCAATCTCGCATCATGAGCTCACGTAAAATCAAAAGCAATTTACAAGTATCCAGTATATAAAAGTACAGAATAAACATTTCCATTCACAAAAATAGGGGCATGGAAAAAAGGGATGGGACCAAAGCAAGACTGAAATCCAGCTGTTCAAGCAAGTCCTGTAGTTCTGTGTTTGGCATCTGGAGCACTTTGCATGATGTCCTCTCCGAAGGGCTTGTGTAGCTTTGCCCCTGTGGCCCTGTTGGTTGTAGCCCAAGTGGCCTCCCTGTTGGCTTGTCTCTGTGTAATTCCTGCAGCTTTCCTAGGACGATGTCTCACATTATTGGCATTTCTTAATCTCTGGAGTCTCCACTGCAGCTTTGGCTACCTCACATCTCCACAGCTTGCCTTCTCAGGGAGTGCCTGCAGGGAATTCAACACTGCTGCCCTTTGCCTGGCTTCCAAGGCCTTCCTTTGAAATCTTGGTGGAAGCCTCCATGATCCCCTAACTCCAGTGTCCACAGTCCTGAAGAACCAGTATCATGTAGTTGATGCCAAGCTCTGCCGCCATCTTGATCAATAGCTGTGCTTCTGGGGACCCTGGCTGCAGCAGCCTCTGATTGTCTGGGTAGCTGAGCATGTTGAAAAAACTTCCTAGGCCCCCTTATTCAAGGATTTCACTCTGGTCTCTTCTCAAGAGAATTTCCACTTTTATTCCCTTGAGCCTGAGATGGATGTGGTCTGGCCAGCTCCTGAGATGCCTTATTGTCTCTGGCCAAAGTCTTTAGCATTTATTTAGTGGCAGTAATGTCATTAACAACTGCGGCTTCCTTGGCCCCAGTTTTACTCTTGCCTTTCAAGTTTAAGTTTTTCAAATATTTCTGCTCTGCTTTCTGCTCCTGAATATCATAATAAATTTGGCTAAAAGCAATATCTAGACCACTGCCTGAATGCTATGCTGTCTAGAAATTTTTTCCACCAGATTAAGAAGTTCATTGCTTTTAATATGAGCCTCACAGAAAGTCTCAGGACTTGAGCAAAATGCAGCTTCTCAGCTAGAACATAGCACAAATGGTCTCTAGTATAATTACTAATAGTATATTCTTTTTCTTCTAAACCCTCTTAAGCCCTGTCTTTATTGTCCAGAGACCTATTGGCATTCTGGTCTTCTGAGCTTCTACCAGAATCAGCCATTAAGCTCCGCTTACCATAACAAAGCATTTTCAGCTTGCACTGCTAAACATCTCAAAATTCCTCCCACCAATTCCCAAAAGCTCAAAATTCTCATGAACCACAAGTTCAGTTTAGTCACAGCAGTGACCCCACTTCTTGGTGCCAATTTCTGTTTTAGTCAGCATTTTCACTGCTGTGATGGCCTTTTCAGGCCATTCCCTGAGAAGCCAAAGATGCCAGGCAAAGGCGGGGGCACACACCCTGTAGACAGAGCTCCCCCTGAAGAGGTCAGCACAGTGAGGTTTCCAGTTCATTGCTGCAGATTTGCTTTTCCCAGACCCTGGCTTCCTGCAGGTAACTCTGACCTGAGCACCTGGCATACAGTCCACCTATCTTGTCCCCCACAGGTTCTGTGCAGGGAGGGGCACTGTGAGAACTTCTAACCACAGTCAAGGTCTGGGCATGGAATTAATGCTGCCCGTGTGGCTGTGTCCCTAAAGGCCACAAACATCAAGTGCAGTTTCCAGTAGTCTTGGGTTAGTGGTGCACCCTGACCCCTGGCTGAACACGAAGATGTGTGATGTGAGGGAATTTCAGGGCTGAGGGACCGGTTCTGTATCTTCATTATGGTCGAGAGCACACATGGCTGTATGCCTTTGTCAAGGGACTTTGAAAACGATTTAAATCAACTCTCAGGAAGGTCACTGTGTGCATCATACTCCAACAGAAATATTAAGAAGTTAAAAACTTAAGAGTGATGATTATCCTGCATCCTAATGTTTTTTGAGCTCCTGTTTCTTCACTCCATTTCACCTGCATATTTATTAACCCTAATGTGGCTTCCCCCCGGCAGGCGACTGTGACGCTCCGCTGGGATCCGCCTTGCCTCCGTCCTCCTTCAGCAGCTCCGCGGAGCTGTCCAGCAGCCACGGCCCTGGGTTCGCCAGGCTTAATCGGAGAGACGGTGAGTCTGCTTCTTCCTTCTTGCTGATCCTTGGTGAATCTCATTGGGTTTTCACTTAATAAAATAATTGCAATTGATTGATGCTTTATAGAAGGAAATAAAATTCCAAATAAGCACGTTTGCTCTCATTGGACTCTGAGGATTTATTTTGCAAGAATTAACTGGCCCCTGGGCAGCTGGTGTGTCTGAACCTCTGGGTCCAATCTTCACAGCTTTGGAACAAGTCACACACACCTGGCTTTGACAGTGTTTGATCTTCCGGTAAAATCGTTTCGGTATTTAAGTATGTGCTGAAGGCTTTAGCATCTGCTGTGTCCTGTTATCTATCCTGAGTTTTCTTTCCTCCTTTCTTGTGTACATTGCCCCAGATTGCTTAATTAGCCCTATTTAGATTGAAAAAAAAATGGCAGATTAAAGAAGCATTTTCAAAAGATTTTTATTGTTTTAACTAGAACTCCCAGTTTGCTTCTCATGATGGCCCTCTGGATTTTCTCTTTAGCATTCACTGAGGAGAAAGAGCATTTAATGGTTTATTCGTGTTCCATTGTGAGTTTCCATTGATATCTACAGACATTTCTTGAGAGGAGCATGTTTTCCGTTACATGGGTTTAAACAGAAGTGTACGGAACTGAGTGCTAACTTGCCGTGTGGTACAGTTTGGGTAAGTGTCCTCCAGAGACCCATGACTTGGTCCCTTGGTGACCCCACTGGGAGGTGGTGGCACTTTAAGTGATAGGACATAGTGGGTAGAAGTGAGGTCATTGGAGGTATGACCTCAAAGGAGTTATTGGGATCCCTAGCTCCTTTTTGTTTCTCTTAGCTTCCTGGTCAACATGAAGTGAGGATTTCTCCACCATGTGCTCCCGCCATGTTTTGTTACCTCACCACAGTCTAAAGGCAGTGGGGCCAGGTGACCATGGACTGAAATCTCTGAAATTGTGAGCCAAACATTTCCTCTTTCTAAGCTGATTATTTCAGGTACTCTGTTATAGTAATGGAAAGCTGACTTACACACTATATCAAAATAGGGAATTTAAGAAACCTTATACATAGTGATGAGGCACCATCTGGCATTTTTAAAGCAAAAACTAAGGTAAACATTCTTTGAATAAATTCTCAGGAAATTGAATTCACAGTATTGACAAAAAATATTTGTAGGCATATATGAAAAGACTCAAAAAGTGCACTATAAATACCATGCGTCCTTATTTCCTTATTGCCTTCTTTCTTGTTGTTTGTTCTTACTGTTTTTTTTCTTGCTGCTTTTCTTGGTGTTTTCAATATCTGAGCACATTTAGTAAGTTGCACTTTGGACCAAATTAATGTATTATTTCCTTTGTTATGGACAATATGGTTATCAGAATGAATGAACTCACTTCATTTTGCTGAAATGCACTTATGTGAACACAGTTGCAAATATGCAAATAGACTGCATGAATTCTAAACTAATACATAAACAAATATGTTGGCTGAAATACCATGAAGTCTGCTATTTCATTCATTTGCTAAGATCTGGTTCTTTTACTCCAGATGATGTTCCTGCAGAGCCTAAGTGAATGTGGCCAACATCACTGGAGTAGTGATTGATACTGGGCACAAAGGATAAAAGAAAACAAAGGTCATCTCAAGCCATAGCTCTTTTTAATGGCAAATCACATTTTATGTTAGGATAGGACTGTGAGGATTCTCCATCATCATTTTTATTCTTAGTTCATGTTCTTGCAACTCGTATAGTGCAAAGGCATGATATCAATCTTAATAAAATTTATTTTCATGTGAATGAAAGAAAAATGGTTCCATTTTATCATTTTAATTAACTACCAGCTGAGGTGTTTATAAATTCATTGTTGTGATTGTTGTGGGTTTTTATTTTTTGTTGTTGTTGTTTGTTTTGACTTTTCCTCCTCCCTATAAGACATTCCAAATTGTGAGTGATACATGGAAGGCTGTAGATTATCTCTGGTGTTTTAAGATCCTTTATCAGATTTAGAGTGATTTATGAAGAGCAACTTAACCAGTCTTCTGATCATAAAGAGTTAAACAAAATACAATTGACTCTGGGTCACAGATATTACAGCCTTTCTCCAGAGGAGTGCTGAGATCTCAGAGCCACATTCAACAGTCAGGAAACAAATGCTCTTCAGTCAGACAGCCCAGTACTTGGAACCTCTAGGATGGGAAATTCCATGAACACATCTCTGGTCATTGCGAAAACCCCAGTGTGAGGGATGAGAGAGGAAGGTGACTGTGTAGTCAGTGAATTACGTCTGACCCGGTTTAATTCTGTCTGACCCTCCAAAGATTGCTTTTTTGGAAGTGTCTTCATTTATGCCTCTGGGAAAGTAATAAACAAACTAAACCAGTTCTTCTGTTTCACTAAATGAAGAACCCCTGAGCCACAAAGTTAACGTACTTATCAAACCAAGTTATTCTCTGCCCCCCACCTTTTTTTTAATGGGGAAACACTCCAATTTTACATCAAACATTTCGTAAACTATGAAACATAATCCAAAGTTACTTTCCACTTATAAAAATTCATTACCATACTGGTCAGATTAGAATGTAATTAATCAAATATATTTTTGCTTTCTACATTTTCATAGTTGAAATTTTAATATGCTTGAATTTTAGTTCGTTAATGAATACAATGAACACAGTTTTTTAAATTGACATGTAATGACTTTACAGATTTATGTGGTACAATGTGATAATCCGATACATATAAACAATTTTTAATGGTTAAATCAGGATAATTGATATTTCCTTTTTAGTTTTTTTTTCAGCAGACACAACATCTTTGTTTGTATGTGGTGCTGAGGATCGAACCTGGGCCGCATGCATACCAGGCGAGCACGCTACCGCTTGAGCCACATCCCCAGCCCTTGATAATTGATATTTCCATCTCCTTAAATATATATCATTTCTTGGAGCTAGACTCTTCAAACTCCTCTCTTTTAATTCTTTGTAAATCACATAATAAATTGTTCTAAACTAGAGACCAACTACTGAAGATGCACATTTTAAAAACCCAAATCTGTGCTATTATTGCAGCAGGCCCGGTGATAGCACTTACAGGTTGACGTGGGGTCTCAGAGCAGGAGCTAATGATCACGTGTGCCTGGGACCAACAGACCCTTGAAGTGACAGCACAAGGTGCCTTAATGAAATATTTCCCCCTGCACTAGGGGAATCTGAAAATGCATTTTTGTAACCTATAATTATGCATTTGAAACAAGGAGAATTTGAAGAAGTAGAAAGAATTAGAGTTTGGAGTACAATAACAGCACATCATTGCTCCCAGAAGCAACAAATGCTCTTTTTTAAACCTCTTCCATCTGCTCCAAAGTTTCCATCTATTGCTAAAAGAGGCAATATTGTGATTTCTTGCTGATGCATCTTGTTTTATTTTCTACTACTGAATCTTTGCATAGCCTGGAATCCCTTTTAATGTTAAGATGAAACTCTGCTACAAATGACAAGTAGAAAGTTAGCTAAGATCTATTATCGATGAAGAGGGCTTAAGGGCTCAGGGTTAGGGCAGGTCCCTAGCATGCTCACAGCCTTGGGTTCAGTCTCCAGCACCCAAAAAAGAAAAAAAAAACCAGAAATAAAATGATTCTGATTCTTGAATAAACCACAAAAAGGGCTAATCTTAAAATTTAGTGAGTATTTTTTTGGGAAGTGTTTTAGTGTCCTAAAATAACCCACTCTTGGAGGCGGGGTGTGTACCAGGGATTGAACTCAGGGGCACTCAACCACTGAGCCACATCCTCAGCCCCAATTTGTATTTTATTTAGAGATAGGATCTCACTGAGCTGCTTAGTGCCTCACCATTGCTGAGGCTGGCTTTGAACTAGCGATCCTCCTGTCTCAGCCTCCTGAACTGCTGGGATTACAGCGTGCATCACCATGCCCACCTAACCCACTGTTCTGTGACCTTAGTGTGTAATGGTCACTTCTCACATGCTTCTGATGATGGCATGGTGCCTATGGGTCAGGTCCTAAGAAGTAGAGGACTAATGGACTTTTCTTGATAAATATTTTCTGCAGCTTAATCTATGTTGTAAAAATATTCAAAAATCAGTCCTTATATATTTAGCTACCTGGTAGTTTCCCATTACTGGAGAGTGCTTTTAAATAATTAGGAAAAATATACAGAATTGTGATAATTATATCAAAGCTGACATCAATTAATTGCCAAAAAGGGGGGGGGGTAATAAGAGCTGATTCCTTGTGCTTCAGGGGAGATTTCAAAGTTTGGTGCTAGACTTTTGTTGGAGTGAGCCCAGGAGAGAGGTGATGCGGGAGGTCCTAGTTACCCATCCCCACAAGAAGCCCCATGTGCTGTGAGCATGTGCTGTGGGTCATTGGGGGCTGAGGAGGGGTCCATCCTACAAGGAAAAGGGGGGACAAGTCATGAAGCTCAAGCAGGTCTAGGGCGACCTTATATGCCACAGATGGCAAGGAGAACGGGGACTTAACTCAAGGCCTATACGGGTGCCTGCAGCTCAGCCTCAGCTCTGAACCAGGAAGCTCTTGCTATAAAGGTCAACAGAGCTCTTCTGCAGCTTGAATCCCTGATACACTCATAGCATAAGGTGACCCATGTCTGCAAATGTTCTTTGGCTCCACCACCCTCTTGCCTAACCACAATGAGCTCCTGAGAACTCTCGGGCCAGTGTCACATGGATGTCCAGTGCATGGCCAATCCCTGCATAAGATCCCATTGACTCCTGTCTCTGTACTGGACGGAAGGAAGAGCAGCACACCTGGGTACAGTGCCCAGCTCCCTCATGGCATCCTCCTAATCCTTTCCAATCATCATGGACCTCTGGGTTTCCCAGGTCCACATCTGTGAGCCTTCAGGGGTACCCACCTCACTTTCAAGATTAGAGTTAGTACTACTTCTCATTAGGACCTCAGCTGAAGATGAGTCGGGAAGGGTCCTCTGCTAGGGTCCTGTCACACATGGAGGCAGGTCCTGGGGAGCTGCAGGGGCC